GGGTTTGGGGTTTGTTTGTTTTTGTGTCGGAGGTTTTGGGTTCGGGTGTTGGAGGTTTTGGGTTTGGGTGTTGGAGGTTGAGGCTTCCGAAGGGATGTGTTTGCAAAGTTTTATTGCTCTTAATATTATACGTGTAGTCGTCCCTTACTTTTACTTAAATCATGTTGTTGCATGCTGAGTTGCACTCGTCCCTCTTCAAGTAGAATACAGCTAGTAGATCGAGATGAACTTGAACTAGTACTAGAAGTACTTTTGACTTACATCAATTGCATCAAATCGTTTGTCTTCAACATCATCTCCTTTCATACTCACCAAATGTGACGTTCATGCGAGTAAATCCGATTTTGGACTGGAGTTACCACGATGTGTGGTATTTTCTCCGAGCCTTTGATTTGCCGTATTGCGCTTTGTACGATCAGGGGTACACAAGTATAGGAACGGTAAAGAACACGCGGCCGAACGAAGCTTTGCGCATTTCCCCTTCAGATACGGATTTTAGACCTGCGTGGACCCTCGAAGATGAATCCCTTGAACGCGCAGGGCGCGGCGTTGCTTAACAAAAACAACTTAACCTGAAAATCTATCCCTCTCCTTTATTAGATGAATGAAGACCGCAACTCTTTCTAGGCCTCCATCCGCGTCGCAGACAATTGCCGCTCCGGACGTAGTACCTGGTGCTTTCAATCCCTACGATTTTTGCAGGGCATTCAGAGCATCATCTTCATGCTGACATTTTCCATGCAGATTGATAGAAGTAGATAGATATGATGCTCATCATGGATAGTTTTGTACTACTAGTTGGTTGCGACATCTCCACCAACACCACAAAACCTCGAAGTGGCATCTGCGTCGGCTTCTAGAAGAGACACGCGCTGTATCTTCTTTCTCGACTATATCGACGCAATAAACAATCTATTGAAGCACTTCAAGAAGATGGTGTTGCCGGTGCTTTTCGCTTTTACAAACCAAGTATGTACTTCTTCATCTCTCCCTCCCTATCATAGTACCACCCAACAACATCTTTCTGACTTTTTTGGTCTGGATTCATTCTTCATATGGTGGTTGATGATGAATTCATCAAACAAAAAGGAGCAAGAACATTGTCCTCGTGCTAGAGCTGAGCACTACTCCGACTGACGCATAGGATTGCGTAGGGTGTCCGAATTCGACGACCCCTTGTCCAACAAGGGGTCTACTCCGCTGACCATCGACCCTACTTAGAATTAAGTACCAGAAAGTCTACTTGATCACGAAAGCGAGGCATCACATCTGAGGGGTCTGAGTCTGTCCTGGTCCTGATAAACGATGACGATGTTGTTGAAAAGACTAGCTATTTCGTACCAAAGTTCAAATCGGGATGAAATTTTTCGGAAGATCTTGAGTGTGATGAAGTACTTACCTAATCAAGTGACTTTTCTCTCGCGGCTGCACAAAAGCAAAAGATGGAAAGTTTAGGTACGAGTACGTATGAGTGTTACGAACAGACACACTTTTATCTCGAAGTAGCAAAAGCATGCCCATTCTGCACAAAAATCTCCGCATCGTGCGCAATCTAAAAAGCGGCAAGGGAGATGGCGTGTATTGTCGTATCTTCGATCGGCAACAGGATGTTCTTGACGAGAGGCAGTACAACAATATGGCTATCCCAAGTGGCACAGTGCTAGCATCCGACACTCCACTGGTGACCTTCTACGACACCAACATTCCAATCGGGGCCGGAGAGCGCGATCGAGCACTTCTATCACAGTTGAAGTTATGTTGTTGAATGTTGAACATGAACATGAAGAAAAACTGATTTCAAAGAAATGTAGTTGAGGGAGCTGTTGACTATGTATCTTCGTGGTGTTGTTCGTTCGTATAAATCGTGTTCTATGTCGATGAAAACAAACAAGAAAATTTAGGGTGTATCATGATCATAATTTAGCCCTAGAAGTAGAAGGTCAAGGTGAGGAGCTGAGTTGTAGAATCGGCTAATCCAGTCGCTGACAGACGCAAAGAAGCTGATCTTCCACAGAGAATTACGTGGAAAACCTTCTGTTAGCACGTCTTCGGATCCTGTGCGTGAGTACCGACGCAAGCTGCCGCCGAAGTGGAAGTGGACCGACGCTGAAGTTCGGATGGTTGATTATGAACAGCGATTTTCCGCTTTGTGTAATTATCACAACTTGATAGATGTAGATCTAGATGTACTATTGAAATTGATGTGACTTCCGCTCGCGCTCCTGCTCCGGTTCAAGCTCCTTAATAGATCATGTTGAGTTTCTCATACAATTACAAAGAACATAGGATCCGATCACAACATCATGGGACACTCACATGACATTCTGCATGACCTAGATGAAGTAGCGCTGCTAGTGCTACAAGCGACGCTGCTGCACTACAGTGCATTGGCATAGTATCTCCACTTCGATCTTTTCATACCCACACTTTCTGGAACAACTGCTTGCCGGGTCCTGTGTCGGAGTCGGCGTGCTGCTTTGGTCTCCTTTCCAAGTTTAACCATTCGTGTAACCCGAATGCTATGTTTCTTTGGCGGCACAGCGAAGGACGAAGCGGGACATCAAACTCAAGCTCTGGGAAGGGGATGCCAACATCATCTTGTGTGGCCAGCACTTTTGATGATCTCCTCCATGACGAATCCAAAGCCTCGCGAGGAGGTCAGACAACGAGCACAGCTGCAGAGCCGAGAATGATTAAGCAAGACTACGTGGAGCAGCTGGTGCCTCCTCTAGGGGAGATCGTAAGCATCCGACCGATCAGGGATGGCGATGAAGTTTGTATCTGCTACGTAAATTACACGATTTCGTTTGAGGAACGTCAAGCTGAGCTTCTCGATGGATGGGGATTTCTTTGCGATTGCGAATTCTGTTGCGCCACCAGATCTCCACTAGCTCCACTCACAGATCAAGCCCGATGGCAGATGCAAGAGAAGAGAAAAAGACTCGCCGAAATGTGGGAGGATCTCGTCTTTAATGAGTCCGTAATTAATATATCAGAAAGACATCCAGGCTCAGTTCGAACGCCAAAAGTGGAGATCAAAGGCGAAGGGAACGTGCGAAATGCAGCACACGCGGAGGAAACGGAAAGCAATCCAGCAGGAGCCAGAAACAAGATTTCAGAGGAGGACGAGGCTGCCGATTCTGTCGGCAGAGGTCCTGCTGGAGCCATGGCTTGCCGAACGCAGGAAGGCGTGGATCTGGATGCGGAAAAAGATGGTCGTGAAGAAACCGGAACACTTTCACAGTCACGGGAGTCGGATCTTGTAGATAGAGGACGATCATTACATGCAAGATCATATTCTTATTCATGGCAGAACGAATTTGTAGAATGTCTTTCTTGTCTTATCCAACTGCATGAGGAACACCCTCACCTGCTATTCCTAGACCCCTACCGACATCAAAAGTATCTGAACCTTGGTGTTGAACTCACGTATTCTCAGCCTCTGCCATTCCAGATGAATACGACGTCCACCATGAAGACACTACTCAAGCAGCTTGAAGCTATCTTGCTCGAACATACCCGCTGCCCAGCGGAGACCTCTGCATCTAGGTCTAGCTGTCATCTCGAAAATTTCTCCACCGAAAGCATAGAAAGCGATTATTTTCAAGAATATAGTGCTCAGCATCAACATGCTAATGATGATCATTGTATTTGTCCACCTGCTCCTGCCCCGTGATCATCGTCCGGCGTGGTCAAGGGCGGACACCACAAAAGTGTTCTTCAGAATCGTTTAGGGGTGTCACAGATACGTGTTGCACTTGTGTTTTCCCATGATTGGGCACACCCCAACCCGAAGACTCTAGCGAAGATTCTAGGTCTATGCGACTCTGCTTGATGCTATGCAGCCCTCGGTGCTACTCAACATCTCCCAGCATGTTTCTCTACGGCTCGTTTTGTCTTCATGACCATTGCTATGAAAAAGGAGCTCGCAGCACTACAAACGATAGCGTTATCAAAATAAACCGGCTTGGGTCAAAATCAATGCAGTAGAAGCTTAGCTGTGTCAACATTCAACATTATCTTTATCTACTACTTGTTCTTCAACATACAAATACACTTACACGATACTACAAAAAAACATGCTCGTCTCTACTCCCGATCTGTTTTCCGCCTCCGGAGCGGTCATCCTGCTCTTGACTTCACTGGTGATCCCGCTTTTTTGGCTTTTGGGTAGAACGATTCCGTTCCTCCTGCGGCGGCTGTTCAAAGTTGGCAAGCGAAAGGCACGAGCAGATGACGTTTTAGAGGGTTGTAAACAGCGGCTCCCCCAACAGAAGAAGAGATGCGTGGCTGTCCTTGGAAGTGGAGGGCATTCATCTGAACTTCTGCAACTGATCGAGGGCTGGGATATGTACGACTTCGTCTTCATAGCCGCAGACTCGGATCCCTACTGTCACAAAATACTCGAACGGAATGGATTCAAGATAGACGAGCGCACAGGCTCGCGCTCGGCGGCACCGGCACACCATGTTGAGAATCAAAAAGGCTCAAGAACAAGAGAGTCTGGGTCTACAGGGAGTGCAACTGGAGCAAGGAAGTGTTCTCTATTTTTGATTCAGCGTAGTCGGCACGTTGGTGAGGGATGGGTCAGTAGCCTTGTTCATACCTTACAGGCCTGTGCACAATGTGTGAACTTGGTAAGGCGAGAACGCCTGATACGCGACGCGGATTTGTTGCTGGTAAACGGTCCTGGAGTTTGTGTTCCCGTTGTGTTTGGGATGTTGTTATCCGAACTTTTAGGCTGGCGAGGGACAACATTCGCATCTCACGCGCGTCTAGTGTTTGTGGAGTCGTTTGCGCGCGTCAGAAGTATTAGCATGACTGGCAGAATATTGCAGCCCTGGGTAGACCGTTTCGTGGTACAGTGGCGAGCAACCGAATCGCCCACCAAAGGCAAACACAACTTTTGTCTATGGAACAAGAGTCGCTGGTTGAGAAGGTCTATAGACGGGAAGAATGTCGTCCCATCTTCATCATGATTCATACTTATTTAACTTTAAAAGCGGTCTTGTAGCGCTCTTACGGAGTTACTACATTACTGGTTGGCCTCGTAAGTAGACGCTAATAGCTACACAAGAGGCACCATGACATGACATGACATAGCTCGTCAGGAAGTTAGACTTGGACTTGGATTTGAATTATATCGAAGTTCGACATTCGTTCCCCCATAATTCCGACGATCTCAACCAGTGGCGGGATTCATATTGGGCAAAGTTTGGCCTAACTCAAAGAGAATATGCTGGAACGCTCCTCTAGTCAAGGTTTCTGCCGGTACGCCATGGGCAGGCTCCAATCCAACACAATACTTTTTGTCCGATGAACGCGACTGATCTCACATAAGAACGTGAAGAAGACAACTCCGTCGCGGCCCCACATCGAGAAGATGGCCTTCTCATCTATCTTGCCCGTCGATTTTCTGGGACTATCTGAAATCCAAAAGATCCTCGTCGGTGGAACCTGTTGTGAAGAGGTCGTCGGACGGTTGCGGATGTGCACAAGAGCATTTACAAGAAGAAGTAAAGAGGATGAAAATGACAGTTGAAAGAAAGTCAGGTGTCCTGAAGGTGACGACCATGAGGATGATCAACACAAGTAAGTGTGACTGCCGCAAACACTGTAGTAGCCGTAAGAGATAATCGCGCTCGCGTCTTGCGTTGGATCGGTGTGGGAAGTCTTCGCATTCTTACACGCAAGTAAGAAAGTATTAAATTATTACAACGAAAAAAATGCAAGTGACAGCCTTCACTATTTTTAAAGAATTACCATTTGTAGCAGTCATGCACACATGGGATCGATGCGACAGGTCAATTTTCCTTATGCATCTTCGCAGCAACCAAACCAATAACAAGTCCAAGAAAACTAAGAAAAATTTGCTCCACAAGTAGGTATGGGAAGTGTGTCGAAATATAAAGTAGATGATGCGGCTGCGGACGTGACTGCACGAAGGCCGTGAAGGCTGTGTCTGTGAGATGACCCTAGTGGTGGCTACAACAATGACAAGGGAAGCGCATCAAGAGATCATGGGCTAATTGAGGGAGCTCCCTGAAATTAGTCCGGTGAAGAAGAAGACGCGAAGAGTTGCGTTGTGTAGACGCCAGAGGAGGATGCCTGCAAGCCCGCGCAGAGACACGCACCAGGATACGCATCCGGACACTAAAGCTTTCGGGCAGATAGAGGACGCCGGTGCACGACGGGGCGTGGCAACAATAAAGGATTTTCTCGCTGCCCACCACGATCTTTCAGGAAGCAAAAGCATGATGAATGAAGACGACGAGGAGCAGTCGCCCACGTATCAGGGTGAGGCTTCACCAGGTGACGGTTACGGTGTTTTGCTTTTTCATGAGGCACCGTCGGAGGGCGAAGACGACGATATGACGCCAACGCCTACAGCTGATCATGGTGCGCCTTCAGAAAAGATAGAGGATCATAATGCACCAGAGGACGATTGTCGAGACGAGATAAAGCGCGACGAAGAAGATGCGGACGAGGATGAAGGTCATGAAGAAGAGGGAAACGCTTCGTTCCGCAGAGGAAAAAACACTGTCGACGGTCCCGCCTTACTACATCATGGTGAAGATCGAGCTGAGGGTGAGTCGAGGGCTGTGACGTCTTCTGTCCAAAAAATGACGCACAATGGCGTAGGCGGGGACGGGGAACAAGATGCATCCGCGCTGGCTCCTAACGTCGTCAGCTCAGGCTCGGAAGCATTGCCTGCAGAATCTGCACGAAGCTATGAAGAACATGATGCATCAACGACAAAGGTACAAAATCGCCAGCCACAAGCAACTAAAGTGTCGCCACGAGCAGGAGTAGGAGAAGCAGTAAGCGGAAGGGCCGATGGAGGAACGCGAACGAAAAGCGAAAAGGATACAGAAGTACAAAAGAACGAGAATAAAGATCCACATGAAGTAGAGATAGAACAAGAAGAACGTGCCAATGCCATTGGAGAGGAGAATGTTGTAGTTCCCGTTGGTATACCATCGTCCGCTGCTCCAGGTAGCATTTCTAGGAGTACTAGCAGCTCAGGAACCGGCGCATGTGCATCAGGGAACCAGTTGGCGCGTGCTCTAACTGCACTGTCAAGCGCAGAGGCAGCACTGGATACAGCGAATGGCAGAATCGCGAGGCTCGAGCGCGAAAATAGTGACCTGCGAAGTCAGGTTGAGCTACTGCAGGAAGAAGGCGCTTTGCTGAAGCAGCGCTTTCTAGAGTCAACGCCGCCTCAAAAAGTGAAAAAGCGGGTCGAGTTTGGGGTACAAACTGCTAGTCCAATTGAAGAATTGCTAGCCAAAGCCACGACCCTCCTCCAGGCTGACGAACAAGATGGTCATGCTTTTCGAGAGCTTGGAAGTAGAGTTGATAAAGCGATCGACGCAAGAACACTCACCAAAGCAAGTCATCAAGACTCCACGTCCAAACTTCGTGAGGAGGGAACGATAGAACCCAGCGCAGCAGTCACAGGAAGTCCACCATCGAACGACACTCAAGCGAGTGGAGGACCGTCCAGTACGTTTTCTTCCGTAATGGCGAGTACCGGCAATCGCGTTTTTTCGAGTCTCCTTCTAACAGGATCAAGTGCTGCCACGTCGTCGTCCTCGTCCCCGAGCTCGGAGGCTAAGTTGGCGACGGCGCGTGCTGCGTTCCTTGAGGAAATGCTCACTAGCGATTGCGTGACGTCGACATCATCTAGTTCCACCTCATCTATGAAACATCAACTCGGCAAAGAAGATTTTGAGCTTGAGGCGGCCACTACCAGTAGAAGTACCACTTCATCGTCTAGCTCCTCTTCGTCACCTTTGGCGATAGCCGTTCGGACGCCGTTTCGTGTAGATTTACGCGTGTGTAATTCCAGTACTAGACAGGTGAGGGCAGTGCTTGCAGAAATAGCGCTGAAGGTGATAACGTCATCGGCAAGAAACCTCGAACGGCGGATGGCTGCTTTACGTTTTCTACTTTTTTACTGGCAAAGCTGTGTAGATGAAGCTGGCACTGAGGAAATCGTGATGAATTTAGCGGTAAAGAGTGCCAAATTCCTACTCGATGCGGCTGTGTGGGAAGCGCAGACAGAACTGCTAGAGCTCCGATTGCAGGTGCTTCTGCACCTTCTGCCACACATCGAGGAGATACCAGTATCCGCGGATCTGGTGGCAGCTTCTGAGAGAGATGTACTCGAAGATGTTCCTGCGAAAAATTCGGCACGTGGTCACCAGTATCGCACGGAAGTACGGGCTCTATGCTTGCTCGCGTTGCAGGATAACATTTTTGTGGGAGAGAAGCGTTGCTCTTGCAGAGTTCTAATGGCCATGGGATTCCCAAAGTCAGACTTCGAATCCAGCGCCCAGCTCTTCGACACTCTTGTGGCTTTACTACTGGAGCTTTCATCTGCTTCAACCTGCTCGCCAGCAATGCTATTGCCTGGTGAAGAAGAAGGTGTGGCTGAAGCTGCGCAAACAAGGGAAAGAACACGAGAACAGCCACAGCAAGATGAACTACATAAGAATTCTTCATCGTGCTCTAGCTCTTCCTCGCGTGGCGGAGGGCATTCGTCGTCTGCCAGTAGGTCATCATCTGCGGTTGACCTGGCGGGAGACAAGAAGCAGGAGAACAAAAGCAAGAAGACTAGATCACCGACGCCAAGGAGTAGCCGTGCGCTCGCCATGGCCAGGAGAGGAGCGATCGCACAAAGGGACGAGGAGGAGAGCACAGAGGATCTCGTTGGCAAGACGCTGGACCATCTTCTCGTTGGCAATCTGTGGTTGATATACCACGCTCTCTGGAAATTTACTACGTCGGCTTTCTCTTCGTCATACAACAATTCAAATATTAATTATGCGTCGTCTTCTACCAGTCTCTCTACTCCTTGTTCTGGGCGGCCTCAATCGCAAACATATGAGCGCATAAAAGCATTAGTTGCGAAAAAGCTACTTGTCGGTTTCAACCGCGGCGCCTTCTCGTCTGCGGTGTTTCTGGAGACTAACGGGCCGCAAGTACTCGCGAGTTTTGTTGCGTCGCAGAATCGCCGATTCGGGCTAGCCGAGAGTTTATGCGTGGGCATTCTCGTCAGAGTGATGGAAGAAAACCCTTCCTCGATCGTACCACAAATCCTATTTCAAGAAAAGAAGAGCGAATCCGTCGCTTTATCTGCAGCAGGACCACTATGCGAACTCGTCGCGGCAGCACCTGGCAGAGAGAACGCAACGCTAGATGTCGGAGGTGATGGTAAGTCAACATGACCTTCTCTGGTAATTCAAGTCCTTAGTATTACGATCTACTGTGCTAACAACTAGCACTAGGTTGCTGTTGCAATTGTCCAGTTTTGAAAAATCTACCAAAGAAGATAAAGCAGATGAGCAATTCCTATATTTAATGTGAAAAGTAGTCTCGCTCACCAGCTCTACAAATTTCAAATGATTCTGCCGGGCAGGAGCAGCTCCGTCTCGACTCCAATCTTTGTTGGGATGGTTAGACTCGCTCTGTTTGAAGGAGCAATCAGACCAGCATCAAGAGGATCCAGCAGAGGACGAGGACGATGACGATACGAGTGCCTACGTCGCCCGAAACGCACTGCTGTGGATCTTGGGTATACCGACACTGCCCCAAATCAGACTATATCTGGTGAGGCTGTCAGCTAAAGTAGTGATCCAGCGAATACTAGAGTTTTTCGAACTCGCATTGGATTGCGTCGAGCAGGTGGGGAAAGATGACGTTGCGTACGGTACTAACTCTGTATTTTAAGGAGCTAGAAGAGGTGCTGGTTATAGTAGTTCTGTAATCGATATCGAGGACGTTGATGTATTTATAACTACTTCTAGTTCTAATCCAGGACACGACATAAACATAATGTATCCTTGCCGGTTCTACAAAAAGTAAAAACAGGATCTAGATATATAGGCTTGGGGATGAACTTTTTTCAATGTTTTGATGTACAATGAACAACGAGATGATTGACGGAAACCCAAAAATTATATTTGGCAGGTGTCATCGGCATGCAAGTGGATATTGCCGGTCCGCCATTTGGCGATGTGGTTGATGGTGATGTCGAGGACGGCGAGACTCTCCGACAATATGATCGAGATTTGAGTCGTGCCGAGGTCGTCATGCCATTCAATTATGCTCTTGCTGAACGTGGCAGTGGCTACAACAATCGGACATCTACAACTGCATCTGCAGGTGATGAAGATAATTCTGCTGCCTCAACAGGAGGAATGAAGTGGTGGCCTCTGCTTGAGAGCTGCTTTGTCGTCCTCCGAACCCTGTTAGAACATTGGGATGCCACCTCTGGTATACAACGACAAAAGAATATCAACAAGAACAATAACCTATGAAAGGAAAAATCGTACTCATACTCAAGAAACTAGGCATGCCCTAAGTAGAACACTGCCTCTTTTCTCGATTATGAGTACATTTATTTTTCCTTTCATATAAGCAAGGCCAAGAACATGAACAACAAGATGATCATCTTGATAATAATGTTCCGGATCAACTAATTGCCCTTGGGTTTGTAGACCGGCTCTTCGAGCTGTTTGAAATTCCTCCGGAGCTGCTGACGGAATCCTTATCAGCTATAGCGCAGGAATGTTTGAAGCTGTTGTTGAAGAAGAATTCAGACATCTGTCTGTTTTCTCTGAACCATTTTGTCGATCACTTTTTGCAATCGGAACAGCATCATCTACAAGCCTCTACAACTAGTTCCTCAGCTATTGGCTTTTTAGCAGCAGCTTCAGCTAGTACAAGTACTGTCACTACGACTACAAAAAAAATTAGTGGTCGAGCCTTTTTTCTGGAGCTTGCTTGTAGTGCCTTGGAGGAAGCTGACTTCTTCGTCGATACTAACGAGTTTCTGCATACGCCAGCTAACAAGGGCACGGTGGAACACTTTCATGCTGGTGGAGAGAAGTTTCGTTTAGCTTAAGGCACTTAACAGTGAATCGCTTCTAAAACTATAACTAGAAATTATTCAATTGCATTTGCAAGGGCAAGGCCACCTGGCTGCTCATGAATTTTTCCTACTCTCAACCACCCTTGATCTTGATCTTCTTGGCAGTAAGATAAAAACACCAGTCAGGAGCAGCCCCCTTAAAAGTAAAAAAGTCTTAATACTCCTAACAACTGTCCACCTCGTTCCAACAAGAATAAGGATGCGATTGAAGGGGTCTTGCTTCTAATCAATTATCTTGCGGAATCTCATAGAAGTGTTCAAGAAATTGAATTCATCGCCGGCGTTGCAGACGCGATTGCGACGGACCTTCGCGACACTGTTCGAGCAGGCATCGAGTTGCAGTCTTTATCTCTGCGTTTTACAGCACTACGAAAGTTATGGAGATAACTTTATCAATATCTACTTCTCCTTCATCTTGAATAAATACCGATACCTCTCTGCCAGTTGCACTTGTGCCCACGTGGAACAAGAAGGATCTTCAACTCACAAGAGAAACCAGAAACTAGTGGAGGTAGCTCCACTACTAGAATTATGGCCATCAAGTAAGTCAGGATGTTTCTAGGATGGGACGACCACCTAGGATGGACTAGGTGGACTTGGGTGGACGAAATGTCTAAGAAACTGAGGCGGACCAGCTTCAAGGCAAGGGAGGTGCATTTTCATCAGAAACTACATCGAATAAAGCGACACTTCCATTGTTGATCGAGATGGAAGTTCTAAAAGCCATTGCTCGATTGAGTTACTGGAATCCTTCTAAGGACTCGAAAACGGTGCACATGCTTCTCCCGGTTCTGGTACTCGAGGAAGTTCCAATTGTTACTTACTAGATCGCAAATTTATCGATATCGATTTCTTTGAAAAAACCAAGCAACATTGACATCTTCGACATCCTCCGTTCATAAGCATCTACACTAGTATAGCTTTTTTTTAAACTACAAATCTATGACTATGTAGTATTTTATGTTTATTGTCGACATCTCCTCCACCATATCTACTCCAGATCGATTCCATTCGGGAATCCTTAACCGAGGAGTATGTTTCATTGGTTTTGAACGCAGTTCTGCATCTCATGTTGCTGGATCCTACAATCGAGAAAGCCACTGGTTCCGCTGTCTTATCCGGGTGCGCTGCGGCTTTTGCAAGTAACGAAATGAAGCGAAAAAGCATCGAGTCGGCTGAACAAGGCGCATCAGATGTTGTTCTTTAAGGGAATCAGTAGAGACTTTTTTGTTATAACTCTACCAAATCAAGTCTGTCAGGAGTAGGAGAAGTGTATCTACATATTTGATGTTCTGTATCTACTCTGCATCCTTGTTGTCGTAATGCATAGCTGTATCTTAGTCGTTTTTCTGAAGAAAGAATCTTCATCAAGCAAATAACCCAAGAGCTCTGCATCAAGGACTACTTCTAAGCTATGCTAGAAGGCGGCCTTGGATTGTTTGAGGAGGAGGAAGCAGAGGAGGCGCGTCGGAGCGAGAGAGAAGAGGCAGTCAGCTTTGTTATGAAGGTGATGCAGCGGTTTCCGACTTCAGATAGAGTAGGGACGAAAGCGCAGTATCTTCTTACTGCAGTACTAGAACGTGGAGGCTCAGGCTGACGAGGAACATGCAGTTGCAGCAAACAAGTTGTCCATGGATAAAACTAGTACACGTACTAGTAGTGATGTGTCTACCTCTGCAGTACGCTGATCGCGCTGGAAGTACATAAACAAGCCAGCACAAGTACGCCTTACTTTACTACTAGGGCGGATGAAACCCGCGAGGGGGCCCTCGCTCGTGCTGTGATGCGTGTTCTCAGAGATCAGAGACTTTTTTTTTCCGTTCAATGGTCCAACAATATGATGGATATATCTTTTTTTCCGAACGACACACTTGTTCTCATTGTAGTTTTTAAGTTAGTTTATACCTAGAGCTAGAACTGAAGTATCTCAAAGAATCTCCGTATCAGCGCTGTGGTCTTGAAGATGATGTTCCACTCAGCTGTACTTGAAAGATGGAAAATTATCATTGTCCGTGCCGACGGTGGCGGCCGTAATGAGCAGCCGTGTTAGCATGCTACCCGTATTTTCTACAACTTCTGTTGGGCGCAGCGAAAAAAAATTGCATGGGCCACTCGCGTAAGAGCTCGAGCAACCTGAGAAACTTGACCCGATGGATACTCCCAGGCCAATTTTGCCTGTAATTCTAGTATGTGAAGATGAGCGTAAGAAAAAATAGGTCAACATGTGGAAATGGAATGCGATAAGAGATTGCAGCCTGTCGTATATGTGTTCAAAGGCAGATGAAAAATATCCTCGGACATTGTTTGCCTTTGCCGCAGATGGGGCGCAAACATGCGCTCCGAAAGCACCTAGGAGAGATCAAGCCGAGTCTTCCGTAGTCCTTTTCGGTCCTCCACACGATAAGCTTTGGCTTACTAGCACCAGGCGTGTTCCTTGCGCCTCGGTTTGAATCTGAGCAGACTGTTTAAGTAACAAGGCGAGATCAGCAAGAAAAAGTATAATGTTGTACTAGCTTGGAGCGTCCGATAACATCCCTCCCACTAGGATCCTCCTCCTCCCCAAAATAAGAAAATAAACAAGGCAAAGATGTAAGCGATACGCGTTGTCAAATTTCGAAAATTTTCCACGTTTTGCCATCGTTTGCGGATTGGATC